ATACATGTTTATGAATATAAAATAATTAAAAGGAATAATTTTCGCATTATTCATTTTAGAAAAAAAATTAGTTCGGAAAAATATAAAAAAAATTGTACATAATTTTACACAATTATGCATATTTTTGTATACAATTATACGTGAGTAATTTTTTTTACATTTCTTCAAACTTGATTTTTTTCTAAAGCGAATAGTATGAAAATTACTCTTTTAATTGTTTTTAATATTTTCACATTACTATTTTTATTTCTATTACACTAAAAAGTAATTTTATAAAAGAAATATATATGTATAAGCATGTATTTTCATACATATATAATTACACATGTTTATGAATATTTGTGTTTATTATATATATTTTATATATATTCATGCATGAAAAATTTTTTACCGGGATACATTTCAATATGCAAATAATATCAGCTTTTTCAGTGCATCATGAATATTTCTCAATCCAAAATTTTAAATAAGAATTTTTCAATTCAATCGAATCTAAAAAAATTTTTAAATGTAAATGAGTCATTTTTTAATACATCCGAATGCTACTAAAGTAAAATTCCAACCTATATTAATATATTGGATTAAGATGCTAATATGTTCTATGATTGATTCATTTTAAGACCATACTTAAGACGATCTTAGATATAAGAATCGACTATGAATGCCGGCTTATATCACCTCAAGCGTAAGATAAAAAAAAAGATAGAGGAATTATGAGCAGCATTAAATGTTGGAAGTCGCGACAATCTCACACACGTCAAGTTGAAAAGGTCAAATAATGTAATAATCGCTTCTGAATCAATATTCTTTCTGTATTTTCTCATTGAAGATGCGACATGCGAACAAAGTTCGCATGTTATATACTCAGGCACTCACGATTAGTAGCAGCTTGAGTATGAATGCGTAATGCGATAATGCGTAGTTATTTCCAATACTAGTAGTATATCTTTAATAGAAAGAGATTCATTAAAAATCTATAATAATACACTTTCTCAAGAATTAGATATCGCTTCCTCACAACTCCATTTCAACTTTCGTTACAATATTCCCAGAAAAGAGATATTATATAAAACCAAACATAGTTGCCGTAAAAAGAACAAGGTAATATTTTAAATTTAACAAAACTTCTTCTTAGTTTAATTAAAATTTAATGGAATTACTCACATAATTCGGAAGCGTCCAGAACAGCTGCTTGCATATCGATGTGACAGATATCGGACTCTTCCGAGGCATCCATTGGAATGTCCAGTATTGTTTCAGTCTGAAAAGGAAAATATCTGTTATAAATATTAATTTCTCGATGAAGATCAATTTTATTTTGAAGATTTATTTGTGCTGTGAAAGAAACGGATCGAGTAAATTGTTTCCCAACAATTAAAGAAGAAATTGTTTTTTTCAAGATAATAATTGGCTGATACGTCAGCAATCCGTTTAAATTATTTGACGATCATTAAAATTTATATAAATTCACATACACGGCAGAATACATCACTCTAATTTACTTTATAAAAATCTGCAATTGTAAAACGATTTTATACATATTTTAATGATCGAAAAATGCATTTAATATAAATCCTAATTGTCGCAAAATGCATGAATGTATTTTAAATGTATCAACATAAACTTGTCGCCGTCATTATGATGTGTAAGCTCTATAATTGTGTATTTCCTTAAGAAAGTAGATCCATAGGAATATACATAATTGCTAATAACTTAATTAGTAATTTCGACTTTTACATAATTATTGCTTTATTTTTCCGTCTAATACTAATCTGCGATTCTCGCTTGGCGCGTGCCCTCATTTGTGGCTAACGATATGGAAAGTGAAAAATCAGGATCTGTGAGACTTCTTATTGCGCATCATTTCACTTCCTCGTCGAGAGTGCGAGTTACATGTATGGCTTCGCATACTGGCCTGGATATCCGTACGTGGATACGAATGTGTAACAATCGCCAGAAGATCAACTTTCGATTTCAGAGAAAATTGTTCAAGGCCAATTACAGAGCAATCAATGTAATTAATGTGACAGTTTCAACATCTGTGAAATTTCGTAATATATAACGTAATATATCACGTGATAATTTCGTGATATATATATATATATTTTTTTTTTGTAATATATTTCGTGATATATACGTGATATATAATTACAGTCTCGTGTATGTCGAAACAAAACTTACAAGTATTTAAATGTGTGTGTGTGTGTGTGTGTGTGTGTGTGTGTGTGTTCATCGTTTATCACTTGTTGTAAATCTTGTCAGAACAAAGTCAACATTGTACTTTTATATAAAGTAAATTATATAAGTACTTTTATATAAGTAAAATTCACAATTCATTTGTAAAAAAACATATCATATAGTATTACAACATTATTTTTAACGCTGATAATTTAACTTGTTTTATATATATGCAAGCCGATTGCATAATGGCAAAGGTTAATTATATGTTCTATCGCGGAGCAGTCGACGATAAACAAAATAATCTTGAATTAAATGCAATGATATTGTTATTTCTGATTCTCTCGTTCGTAAAATAATTTTAAGTTGCCTAACGCTGGAACATAATATATGGACTAAAAATGAAGATAATGAATCAGAGTGAGCGAATTAAAAAGGACGATATTTCTTTCAAAGATTTTTTTAAAAATCTGGAAGAAAAGTTATTCTATCCGGTTATGCCACTTGCGATTTTATAACATTTTCATAATTCATGACATTCTCCTTCTTTATTTTTTACAATGTCGTAGGCCGGTACTCATAGTTCATTTTTATATTAAGAGCATCTTAAATAATGCTAATACGGCTCTGTGATTGCCCTATGATATCTTAATGTGACTTAAAATGACCTTAAACATAATCCAGATAGCAACCTGTCTGTCTTGTTGTTGGCATGTTGCTTGCTAAGCATGCATTGCTAAGTATGTGTTGCTACCAGAATCGTGGCAACTGAGTTTTCATTTATAGCAACTTGTCAGCAATTTGCCGACAACTTTAAAATCGTCATCATCAAAATTCGTCACTATTCCCAAGCAGAATAACAAGTCACGATAACGTCAAAATGACATTAAGGTGAATCGGAAATTATTGAAAAATGACTTTTAGTGATCATTTTGGAGTCATTTTGACATCATTTTACATCATAATGACATCATTTTATATCATAATGACTTGTTGTTCTGCTTTGGTTGTCATCAAGTTGCCAATAATAATATGTAGCATCATACAATGCTGTTGTATTGCCGACATCGCATGATAACATTGACGCAGCTATCTTGCTGTTAAACTGCTGGCAATACATATATACATTGTTGTCTTGCTAGAATGTCGGTATATTCGAAATAGTTGAAGACAATTCATCTACGGCAAGCTACCATCATAAGCAATCACAGTTTGTACGATTTTGCTGAGACACATGCTTTGCTATCTGGGAAGAACCGATTACGAATACCGATTGTGAACTTTAGATTTTGCGGTCTCATTGTAGCAGGCTGTTGCCTCGCCATTTTGTGATTTAAATTTCCATTACAACACTTTAAATATCACTAAACTCGATAAGCTTGTGTAATGTGGCCTAAATAAAATTTCTATCAACATAATAATTTTATATTGAAAGATCCTTGGATTTGAGGGTCCTTCTTCCCAGAAGAAGGGGGGGGCCATCGTACTCTCTGATTGCCCTTCTTTGGAGGGCAATCAGCCAGTCTTCTTATTTTAATAATTTGATGGACGAAGATTTTTTCGGATAAACAGGTTTCAATTCAATAAATTATGTATGACGAATCAATACAATGATTTTATCATTTCAGTCTACGGGACAAAAGTCAACGGGGGACAGCCGTTAATGAGATCCGATAATCTTGATGCAACTCGCC